TTGTAATCCAATAGAAAATTGCATTAAGAATTTATAAGAATGAAAATTACAGTAATAAAGAAAATTTAAAACATTTTATTAATATACAAACACCCTAAAATCAAAAACAGAAAAGGACCTTCAACTACTTACTAAAACGAAAATCAAAACGATTATATTTCAAGTCAGCCAAAAAAACAGCAATAAACGAGAAATGGAAAAAGGAGTGCAAAATAATCAAATTTTTCTATTATCATCTTACCATTATTTTACCATTATTGTACATTCAATGTAAGTACGTTATATTTGGTTTGTTATTTTCCGGTTTTTTAACAAATGTAAACAATGAAATAGAAAAAAAAATAAAATAAAAGCAAGAATCAAAATCGTAATAACCTCACCCTAAGAATAAACGACGATATTCAAATATTAATATAAAATCTGGGCAATCCTTGAAGTTTAGTGAAATATTTCGTTATTATATGCTATCTATATTTTTAACTGTTAAAAACTTTTACCAGTAATAAGTACATAGTCTAACTAAACTTTGTTTCACTACCTTTATGCGGATCAATTTAAGTAGATATGTAAAGCTGTCATTATCATTCTTACAATATACTTATTAATTTTCGATGAAAATTATATAATATGTATTTATTATATTACCATTAACCTAGCTAAGTAGAACATAATTGCATTTTGATGGATTAATTTGACGAGCGCTTAATATTTTTGACGTGTGTAACTAAATGCGTTTAGGTAACAAAAATCATTTTATGACAAGGGTTTGAAGGAAAATAAAAGCAAGTCTCAAATTTAAATTAAACGTTTTATGTACCTACATATCTACATTATGTATGAATGTATATCAGTAACATACCAGGTCTTCAAAATATATTTCGAAACAATAGAGTTAAGATTCAATATTCATGAATATTCAATAAAACATTTATTAATAATTGTGTAGGTATACATAATTTAGAATCTGGAGTCCGATATTCTATAATCAAATAATATCTTAAATCAAAATAAACTCATTTTCTAACAAGTAGAATAAGTACCTTTAATTGGAACTTACGAGTATTACAAGAATAAATAGGTCATAAAGAAAGATTGTCCCTAAAAAATTTTTGTAGAACAAAAACAAAATTCGTCGATTCTTTGTTGTTCTAAAAAAAAAAAATACTCATTTTACATCAAATTTATGCATTCAAACGCGTTACAAATCCATTTACTTTTTTCCCCCGTAAATTTACATGTCTTTACGTCCATATTTATATTTATTACAATAATAGATGATAACATACATACATATACTTACATATTCGTATTATAAAGATGAGAAAGTTTTCTATTTTGCAAAAGAGTTTACATGAATTTAAACCTGATTCAAATCCAAAATACGTCGATCATACGTAAGTAATCGGTTTTAAAAATATTGCCAATAATTTAAGTAAGAAATCGAGTTCAATTACTGAATAATTAAGAAATTTAAAAAAAAATACTACAAATTTAACTAAAAATTCAAATGTGATAACTATTAAGTATAATTTAAACTACCACTATCATTTTTACAAAATATTTTTTATTTAAAAAAAATAGCAATATTTCCTTAAAGAGGTAAATCTTTCCATACAGTTCGGTTAAAACTCAGGAGAATTAAATATGGAAATATGCACATAATGGAATATATTTTATGGAATAATTTTTTCTAGTTTTAATATGTATCTTGGACCTATGCATTCAATCTCCATTTAATATACATTATACAGTATTTTTATAGCCTAATTGTATAGCTCACTATTGCGTCCCAATTGCTTCTTTATTCACTTCCAAATTAGAATCTTCCTTTTTTCTAATAGATAATTCCAAATCAGAATATTCCTATTTTTCTAAAGGATACTTCCAACTTATAGAATCTTCCTTATTTCCTATATAAGATTACTAATTTTTTTATGGATTCTTGCATCTATTCTCAAATTATGAACTGAACCATTTTAGAAAAAAAAATATATGCAATACCTAAAAATGATTCTCACTCGAAAGTTACATTATACAAATATATACTTAATAGTCTTTCGCTTTCTTCTCAGTTGGCGAGTAAAATAGCGTGGCGTCCGATCACGCCCTTAATATACACATTCATCTTGTAAACATAGTATTTATGTAAATTATGGAATAAAATAAGTAAATATAATGGAATAACATTTTCTTTACCAATTTATAATATTATTTTTTTTTCATATTTTGAAATAACAAAACAAAAGATGACGACTAAAAAATGAAATTATTTCTATTATTTGCTTTTTTTTTAGAAAATTTCAATTTTGTTATTTTTGTAATTTTTATTATTATTAGTGTATTTTTATTATAATATTTTTACTCAATTTTTTCATCGCCTAAAGGTATTTTATTTATTCAGAAAGTAAATAACGCCAACGCCATAACAGGAAAAAAAAATAGAACTGAACAATTGTAATGGAATAAAAGGGCAAACACTACTTTTAAACTTTTATTTCATTGCATTGAAAATAACGATAATGCTTATTGAAACGAAAATGTGTACAGTGCCAAATTATAAACAAGTAAAAAGATTATAAAAATTATAAAATATTATTATAGGTATAACAATTATAATATTAAAAATAGTTATCCCTGCCATATCTAAGGTATTTAAATTTAGATGCATAATATTGCTTATTGTATTCTATTTTTATTTTCAAGAAAGTAAGTACATTTCGCTACTAACACAATTTCATTTTCATTTCAATTCAATGAAAGCTATGATTTTTATCTTAGCACCTTTAAGAACTCTTACATGCAAATTTTATATGCAAAGTTGAACCATAAGATTATTCCAATAATAATATAAAATGGTTATAAATACAGTTGGAGAATAAGATGGAGAATTTATCGATATACTTAATATGTATATGTAATAGTCTTAATCATTTGACTTCTTGCTAGATTTAAAATTATATAATTTTTAGTGGCATTCGAGATGTAGTTGAGAATCCCAGTTTTCGTAAATGATTTTACCTCGATCTTCATTGATTGACGACAGTATGGCATAAGTACACATGTTTCTTTGTACACTAGACTTTAATTGCTTAACTTAAATTATTTTTAAATTTTTTTTATTGCACAACACATAATGGGCACCTCAGGTTTGTACGTACATAACTAGAAAATTTAGTGGCATTCGAGATGTAGTTGAGAATCCCAGTTTTCGTAAATGATTTTACCTTGATCTTTATTGATTGACGACAGTATGGCATAAGTACACATGTTTCTTTGTACACTAGACTTTAATTGCTTAACTTAAATTATTTTTAAATTTTTTTTATTGCACAACACATAATGGGCACCTCAGGTTTGTACGTACATAACTAGAAAATTCTTGGAAAAGGTAAAATAAATAATATAAATAAACTTCTATATTGTCATCGTAAACTCACTTACAATATACCTTTCGAAAATATTCCTTAAGAGTAACATAATACTTTTGTGTATTCTAAACAATAATAAAATAAAATATGAAATAAAGAAAATATATAGAATGACACGTGTCAAACGATGACGATTGTTTATTAATTATGATTTCTGTTAATATTCAAAATGTAAATTTTGAAAACAAATTCGAAATTCAATTAAAATTATTGCTTCAAGTTAATTTAAATATGCAATAATACACGCACATACGTATAATTCTTTTTGATTAATTTGCAGGGTGTTGTTAAAAGTTATGAATAGTGAGAATTGTATTAAACACAATAACATCATGAATATGCTGTATTTTCATATGCATTTTTATACCCGTACGAACGTACATATTATGTTCGAAGGGTATACTAAATTTGCTTTACCGTTTGTAACGCTAAGAAATAATGGTCTGAGATATAGACTCAAGTGTATGTTTTCGATCAGCGTCGAACTCTGAGTCGATTTAACTTTGTCTGTCCGTCCCAGCGATAACTCAAAAACTAATTGGTCTAAGTTCACCAAATTTTCACAAATGATTTATTATAGTAAATGCCAAAACCTTATTCAAATTGGTTATGATCGTGGTACTGGTTTGGTTACCTGTCATATAACTTCAAAATTTATTTGACTATATCTTAGAAACTATAAAAGCTTTAGTGCATAAATACTCGTATGTATATTATGTGTCAATGTGTTTGATAAAATTTGTTGAAATTGTTTGGCTTCTTCTGGTAGCTGGCATACAACATTAGTAGTCCATATCTTAGAAAATATTGAAAACACAGTACTGAAATTTTGCATAAATTAATATGGTACATAATATAGCAACTTAAAGTCATAGTCAGTCCCTTAGTCAGCTATGACATGTTTATTCCCACATAGGATAGCAAATTAGTACGGGTATCACAGAGTTGACACGGTCAACTCTATTTTTTTTCGTTATATTTAAAAATCCAAAGCGTATTGTCATTGCTATCTAAGAAAATTATTTTTGAAAGCATCGTAGGTGAATTCTAGCAATTTCCTTAGACATCAAATTGTAAATGAATGCAATGAACATAAAGCATTAAACAAGCTATAGGCTATATATGTATAAGAACGGTTTTCACTCCGATGTTCTTTTATTAAAATAAAATTGAATCAGTAAAAAATTGGGAAGACGTCTTATTAATTAAGTTATTTATCGTTAAATTAATTCATTAATTTTTGATAAAATAATGCCCACAAAATAGGTTGCACAAATGCCAAACTGACTTTCCTTCTTCTTTAATAATATCTAATATCTTTACAGAAGTTTTGATTGCTAATAATGACAAGCAAACTTACAGAAAAAATATTGATCAAACTGAATGTGAAACAAAAATTTTCTATTGAAACTATGACATCAAAATCAATTGTACATACATTTATCAAACAAAACAAAAATACATTTTCGAATATTTTGAAGTGGAATGTTATTGTTTTTAAATTTCCTTTATAATAAAGACTCAAAAGCAGTATTATTTTATATATTTTACTAAATTTGTATACAATAAAAAATGTCTCATAACGGTGAAATGCTACTAGTTGAAGAATATCGGAATCCAAGGATAAGGAATTTAGAATATCTTCCAATTCTGGATTCAGAAGGATTTTTTACAAAAAAATTACCTGAACCACCAAAACGTTGTAAAGAGAATTGTAAATTTTGGTACGATGGCTTACAACCTTATGAAAGATTGTATTATCATCAAACATTAAATGCAGTTAGAAAAAGTGCTAGATTTCGACAATCCAAATTAATTCCAAAAGATACTTTAGATTTTATATTACAATCAAATTACAATCATTCTAAGGAAACATTTCCATGTAAAACCGATGTTTATTTGCAAAATGAAACAATGGGAAAGAAAACTTTTAGAGTATTACGAAATCAGAGAGAAATTTATGTAGAACCTGAAACCATTTTAGGACACCCAATACAAATTGGTAAAAATATACTACATTGTAAAAGTACATGTATCACATTTTGTTTTTTAATTTTATAATAAGGTGGACTTAAGGATAAAATATCACCTCATAGCGTTAAATTAATCCACAGTGGTCATCATTCACAAATGACAAATAAAGGTTATTCCAGACAATCTGGAGATGGAAACATTTTCCATTATTAATTTGCAAATTGTAACTTTTTTCAATGAAAATATTTAAAATAATCAAAAACACAAAATAAATTGAAATAACAAAATCTGGAGGTGGAAATGCTTATATATTATAAAATAGGTTAATTATAATATAGCTTATAAATTCAAAAATACTCAATTATTTGATAATTGTTCAGATAAAATTTAAATACAAAAGCAAACAAATACTATTAAAAATTAAAAAAATAAGATAATCATGTCTTGCAGCTGATATGTATACATTGTAATTTTCTATAAAAATGCGTAAACTTATCAGATTTTATTTTAAAATCTGTGTGTTAAGTACAGTACCTTGAGTAAAAAATTTCAATTAAATTAATAACACATATTAAATAGTACATATATGTATCTCTATTTTTCTTTATTAATAATTTATGCTTAATATGACTAAAAAAAAAGTCAAAATATTTCAGTCTTAAGATGATTCTTTCATCAAAACTAAACAGAATTATTTTCAAAATTCAAAAATTCAAACAAAGTAATAGTAGTAGGTCCCAAAAATTTTTCCTTAAACAAAACAAAAATATGTACATTATTTTTTTTTACAAAAAAAATAAATAAATAAATGAAAATTGATCCAGCAAACTTTTTTGACAATTAAGGTTAATCTCGTTTTCAATTAATTTCTTAAACCTTTTGATTGAGACCACTTCCCATGTTGGTGACCTTACACAACACAAACGCGTTAGCGCAACACAACTCGTTTTTCAATGTATGTAGTTAAAGCCAACTTAGTCGGCTAGTTCATAACAACCCTATTTAATGAAAATAATTGTTCCGCCTTTTACTCTTATACCTTTAGGTGGTTATTTTGCTGATAAGCCTAGTATAGCCGGGTAGTCAATTTAACATAGAGTAAAAATATTACATTGTGTGGACATACAGATTAGCTCATAATAGTTTTGATACAAAATTACACTAGCAGCACTATTGGTAAAAACCCCCAAACACAGATTTTTACAATTTTATATTAAACTGTTCGCACTGGATTCACAATGGATTGTGTTCAACATTATTCGGTCTTGATAACCAAACCGAATAACTTGTGTTGCGCATTAAAAATTTTACATTAGGTTTTTCTAGTAGCAAAATTGGTGCTAATATTTTGCCCGCAACTCTATGAAGTAGGCTTTTGAAATCGTCTGCTTTTATAATAACTGTACAGCCACTATCTAAGTACCTTATCTGGTACCCTAAAATTTAAAAAAAAAGTGTTATAAATTATAAATTTTTTAAGGAAAATTGTACCTTTCTACAACATATTGCAGCTAATGAAGTAAATAAATATATATACATTTACTCATGCTTGCTTTTATTTGATCAATGAAGATGGACAGTATCGTAGGTCCCTGTTTATATATATAAACGTCAGAATAATTAATTTGTCTTTATGAAAAGCCAAATTTTAGATAATTTGCAATTCCCGGTTTTTTGCCAATTTTACTAGTTTGGCCATAATATATATTACGTACATACATATGTATGTACACGGATGTACAAAGCAATTCAATTAGGTTTTTCGCATGTGCATCAGCACATTTTTTTGTAGGTTTTTGCACAAATTTGGTCCCTCAAATTAAAAACAAATTATAGCACTTGAAGCTTTCTTTGAGTTTGCCCATTGTGATCGCTTCAAAGACTTGGAGTACTTGAATAATATACACAATTGAACTCCTTTTAGCAATACAGTTAAAACTTTTCATCCTAAAATCGATAAGAATAAAATTGTAAAAATTATGATTAGAGACATTTTAGTTAAATGTAGTATTTATTTTTACGAATTACCTGTTTCTGTCTTTGAACATTTCAAAGAACTGAACAAATTTTCAAGTTAATTAATCCTAGTTTAACTGCATACAATATAAGGAAAGCATAAACAAATAAATTTGACATTTTCTACTTTTTTTTGTGGTTTGGATTTAGTATGAATGCCACAAACCAGGTGGCGAATGACTGACGTTTATATAATTTTACAATTTTTGGTTTTTGTACAAGATAAAGTGGTTATTCAAAAGTTTATTCAAGGATTAATTGCTTTTTGAATTAAAATCATTTAAAATCATTTGTAATAATGTTTTACAATAATGTTTTTGAATCTTGAAATAATTCATTGTCGAATAATTCGAACTCATAATTTTTTAGTAAATGAAAATTTAGTTTACATAAGAAAATGTGTTCAAGAGTTTCTTTTGGTATATTACTGCCAAGTTTTGTTATTATGCTCGATAATGCATTATAAGAACGATCTGTAGATCTTTGAGATGCTGGTGTAGAAAGGATGATTTCAGCAGACTGGCACAACTCTGGCTCATTTTGATAACCTAATTTCCAATATTCTAAAACATTAATGTGCATAGCTTCTTGCCTTCTTTCACACAACAATAATAATTTTTCTTTTAAATCTTGTGATGTAAGTGATATTAAATTTTTATAATCATTTTTTATAATTTTTTTCATATCTTCAGCTAATTTTTCAAAAGTTTCTTTTGAAGTACTAGGAGTATTTAATAATTTTCTTGGAATACACAATGTTGCCTGCTCTGAATTAATTATTTTGAGTTGTTTACCAATTTCATAGGTTTTCAAAATGCGGTTCTACGAAAGAAATGTTTACATTAATTTTATTAAAAAAAAAATCAAAGCATTACCAACGCAATTTTTTTTTGATGTTCAGTTAATAATGTTGAATTTTCATAATTAAAACGGGGATCTAAATATATTGCTGCCAAAAAACACGCATTTTTAAAAATTTCTCTCTTTTTATTAGCCATGGCCTGATGTAAATAACGTGCATAACAATTATCCTTTAATAAACCTTTCAATTGTAATTCACAATCAAGCCAATCTCTATAAAAATCTCCTATTATATATTTTACATTCTGTGATTTTGATGAGCAGCGAAATAGAAAATAAAAGGCAGACGAAAACTTCTCAATAAACTCCCAATTAACTTTGATTTTCATGAGTTCTGTTACAGCTTCAACATATTCTCTTTGGGATAATAGACATTCAACTGTCCTATAAATTGTCTCCCATTCAGTAAAATTGTTGAAATTTGGAATATCAAAACTAAAATTTTCTATTCTTGAGTTACGAAGTTTTTTTACAACCCTTATGCATTCATTAATTTCTGGTTGAATTTTTTGTAATGTTTCATGAGCCGCTAATCGTAAATTGTCAGCTGTACATTTAACTACCGAAAAAATTTTATCTATTTGCGTAGTATCTTCTCCTTTTTCTACAATACTATCACTACTGTTATACTTTATATTCGGATACACATGAGTTTTTTCAATTCCGACGCCTTTTAAACAGATGGAAATATCTTTCTTAATATCCTTGATTGTTCTCATATTCGTTACTTCTATAATACCTAGTGTAAAATATAAAGATACATACATATATTATTTCGATAAGATGAAATAAATACAACACAAAGTTATCCAAATTTCAATTTTTATAAGTTTAAGATTCAAATTAATCGTATAGTTTCCAATTATCAAAGTTTCACTTTACTTACATATGTATACATTATGTAAAATGTGTATATGTAACTTACCGATTGTATTTACGTGCAATTGAAAACTTTCTATGTACTGAACATTTATTCCTAAAATACTTCTTCCCATACGAGTAGCAGCATCTATTTTTACTGAAACCATTTTATTTTTAACATGTTCTCTTATCAACCTTTTAACTTCCTCACCGGCTTTTTCGATAACGGATGTAACATTTGTTGAATTCAAATTGGTTTGGAACTGATCTTCGTACGGTTTTATAATTTTCTTAAAAAAGTCATTGTCATCAAATATTCGAAGTGGAATGTTTTTTAGTGTTCCCAACCCAACACAACATTTTAAAAATTCTCTTTTATCCATTGTTTCAGTTTTGATTTTAGTATGGAGTTTCTTAACTTTTGGAGTGGGAATGGTTTTTGGAATAGAAATGTTCGAAATAAAATTTGTATTTCCCTTATAATCAACATTATTGTTTATTATTAGATCATGTGCTAATTTGTAGTGTCTTTTTATGTTATATAATCTTCTGCCACTTAACTCTTTTCCACAGTTTTCAATTAAACAAATTGATTTATCTAACTTTTCATTATAAGATACCAATCTATTTATAAATTTCAATTTTCGTTCTTTTCTTTTCTCTCCTCTTGAATTTAGTTTATACATCTTTGTTACTCAATTTTACGTAAAATAATATCGGAGTATCCCGCTACAAATACAATTTAAATTCAATGAGAATTGAAGAATAACTAATTTATGAGCAAACGAGAGTTCTAATTTATATTAATTTTATTGTGCTCAATATTCTGTTTCTCATTATTATAAAATGAAGCTCACTTTCGTATCGTGCATTCGCATTTTTATTTAGTGCTCTCATTTTTCCTAAATTTTCAGTTTTTAATTATGAACATTTTACATACTTAGATAAATATGTATATGTATGTGCAATTCTTAATCTATGCTTATTAAGATGAAGAATTATGGAAGTAATTTTGTTAAAATTACTATTAATTAACAATTTTAATTCAAAAAATCATAAAATATAGATATGTACATACGTACATTTATTATTTAATTTGAGTTTTTTCTCTTTTTCTTGTTTGCTTACAGCGAAAAGAGAAACTCTTTATGTTATGCTTTATTGTTTGCAATGTAACAATACAATACAAATACAACACAATAAAATTTCTTGTGAAAAAATATTTTACTCTTTATTTTCATTCTCTTTTTGATACACTCAAAGAGACATTCAAATAATTTAACTACATATGTACAAATTAATATTTAATATAGAAAATGAGTATTTGGTAGAAAGAAGTTAAGAGAAAGAGGTTTGAGGCTTTTTGAGTACACATTTTGTACTCCTATTAATTCTGTAGTTAAATTCTTATTTCGTCGCTAACCCAACATGGCTTTTGTTCGGTCAATAATTTAGTCAAGCTATATAATATAAAGTTTAATTAAAATAGTGCATAAAAATATTTTGTACAATAATAAATTTACCATAGTATAATAAAAAGTGGCAAAAGGTTTTAGTTTTCAATAATTTTTACTTCAAGTAAAAATATTTGATAGAGAAGTACGATTAGAAATTTTCAAGTATAATTTTTTTTAATTTGGAATAATCATTTTTAGAATTTCAACTAAAATCACAATTGTATCCTGATTCTAAAGAGGTTAAATTTTAGATATTGCTTCACTCTCATACTTGAACGCAATTTCAAAAGTAAACATTAAATACTCAGATTTAAGAGAGTGGATTCACTCGGCAGTTGATAGCACTATAACAGTACTACATTGACAGAAAATTAATCAATTAAAAACAAAAATTAAGCAATTTTTTGTGTTCATTAAAAAGTAAATTTTTTAAATGAACACATTAATATCATGCTAAATTTCTGCTTAATAGAAAAAAAGCAATGTACATGACATAATAAAAATACACTTGTTGAATAATTAATGAAAACGGTAAGTAAGATTAATAAATATTTTTTTACTAAAAATAGAGAAATTTGAATTTTTACATTAATATTATAATTTTAAGATTTTTCAAGAACAAAATAACAAAAAACCAAAATCTTTCTATTGGAAGGTTTAAAAAGTTATTATTTATTACCTATTAATATTCCTCTCCGAATGTCCAAACCTTAATAATGTTAAACCTGTATTACGTATATACTATATACTGTAATTAGTATTGTGTCAAAAAAGTTTTACATTGCATTAGATTAAACTGTTATGCATATATCTATATATATCGTTATTTAATTTATTATTTCTTTGTTGTTACAAGCTTCAAGTAAATCAAAATTTAATTTACATAAAATAATATGTTCGACAGTTGTTTTTTGTATCTTACTTCCTAATTTTGTAAGTATTGTTGATAATGCGCTATAAGTTCGTTCTTTAGATACTTGAGACGCTGAAGCAGAAAAGATAATTTCAACTAAACAACATAGGTCTGGCTCATGTTGGTAATTTGATTTCCAGTATTCCAACACATCAGTGTTCAATGGTTCTCTATTTCTTTCACATAATAGCAATAATTTTTGTTTTAAATATTTTGAAGAAGGTAATTGCATGTTTTTGATGAAATGGTTATCTATATATTGCGTAAGTTTTTCGAAATTGTCCTTTGGTGGATTAGAAAAAGTAGCTGAAGATGATTTTGAAACACATAAAGGTTCTATTTGTCGGTCTAGTGTAGTTCTTTTACCCAAATCTTTAAATATTTCATGAGTTTCTAAAATATGATTCTAAAAAAAATTTATTTGTAATTGCAACATAAAGGAGCTTAGTAAAAGTTTTTAAAAGTGTGCTCGAAAAAGCTGTAAAACTTACCAATGCTATTTGTTTCTGGTAATTAGATAATAACATTGAATTTTCGAAATTGAAGCGGGGATCTAAATACAGCGCAGCCAAAAAAGCTATATGATTGAAAAGTTCAGTTTTTCTATTAACCATAGCCTCATACAGATAACCAGCATAACAGTTTTCCACAGAGATATCTAACAATTCCAATTCACAGTTGAGCCAGTCTCTATAAAAATCTCCTGAAATATATTGTTGGCTTCGCGATTTCAGTGAGCAATTGAACAATGGCTTGAATGCGGAGGCAATTTTTTCAATAAATGTCCAATTAAATTCAACATCCAAAAGCTCCGATAAAAACTCAATATAATCTTTTTGTGGCAAAATACATTCTATCGTGCTATAAATTTTCTCCCATTTAGTCACTTTATTAATAACAGGAATATTAAAATTAAAGTTTTCTCTTTTCGAGTTAGAAAGTTTTTTTGCAGTTTTTTCAAACTCTCTTATTTCGGGTTCAATTTTTGTTAATACTTCTTGAGCCACTAATCTTAAGTTATCAGCAGTGCATTTGAGTACTGAAAATGTTCCACCTATTTGTGAAAAAACTTCTCCTTTTTCCAAGTTAACATTTCCAATGTCATATATACATTCGGTATTTGGATATATTTGAGTTTTTTCTAAGCCTATTTCGTTCAAAGAACGCGATATTTCGTCCATAATATCATTTGAGTTGCACATTTTTGTCATTTCCACCACTCCTACGGGTTATATAAATTTAAAACAAAATTTTAATCTATACTGTTGTTATTTAATATTTTTTTTATGTATGTATAAAATGCAATATTCACACATAATATGTAAATTGAGCATTATCACCCACATGCAAATATCGCATGAAGTGATTTTAGAAGTCGTAGACGTTATAATTGCAAGTGGTACAAACTTTGACGTGATGCAAATGTCAAAATAGTCGTATGTGTGTGTCTGTAAAACTTTTCATACAACAGTAATTTTTTTGATGATAATTTTTATCGATATTTGTATAGAACAAAAAAGTAACAAATTCGAAGCAGTTTGTTGATTCCTAATGAGATGATAGAGAAGGATGGCTAAAAGTATTTCTACACACACATGCATGTATATGTAATCATTTCAGAAGCACAGTAAAGAACAAACTAACGTTTAATAAAAAAGAAGTTAAAAATACGGGAGAGGGACCCAATAGACCTAAAGAACTAACCAACTTGGAGGAATCTGTAAACCGAATTTTGGGCCTAAAGGAAATAGTTCACCCAAGCAGAATACGTTTGGCGAAAAAAATGCAAGTAATAAACGTATTTCATATTAGTGTATTTATGAAATCTATTATTTAATTCCAAGATACAACTTAAAAACAGGGAACCAATAAACGTTGAACCAGCTGCTGGATCTTTTCAACACGGAGGATTAAAATATACAACAACTTCAATATACTCTAAAAGGTGTGAAAAAATGGAGCTGTTAAGAAATTAAACCATTTATAGATGGTTCAGGATGTTAGATGGCCAGAGGATCATATGAAGCTAATTAAAAAGCAAATGAAAGTTGAGTCTCTGAAAATTAAAAAGAAAGCAGCAAGAAAGTCAGAGAGGCGACAATAAGCATATTGGTGAATATAAAACAGATAATAATATATTAATTATATAATATAGAAATACTTACCTATTGTATTAACATGTACTTTAAAATCGCTTATGTACTGAATATTTATAGCCAAAACACTTATGCCCAATCTAGTAGCAATGTCTACTTTAATTGACACTAATTTATTTTTCACACGGTCTCTTATTAATTTCTTAATCTCTTCACTCGTTCTTTTAATAATAAATGTGACGTTTGTAGAATTTAATTTTATTCGAAATTGTTTTTCATATGGTTTTATAATTTTTTTGAAAAAAGTATTGTCATCAAATATTCGAAGTGGAAAACTTTTTACTGTTACTAGCCCCACACAACATTTTAAAAACTCCCTCTTGTTCATACTTATATTAAAACTATTATAGTCATTTTCACCTATTATTATTTTATGTGTTAACGCATAATGTCTTGCAATATTATAACGTTTGTTTCCACTTAAAATTTTCAAACATTTTAAACAAGTTGATTTGTTCGTTACCAGATCAAAATGTACATATTTACTTAAATCCGCTCGTTGTGTCGCCATTTTCAAAAAAAAATTAAATAGAGACTTGTATTTTTCTCTAATCAAATCTTTACCTCAGCAAACGTTGGATAAATTTGAAACAAGAGTTGAAAACGAACTAGTTTTATAAATAATGAGCGGTCAAATATATATTTTGTATAAAGTATAATATGAAATACTGTATACATACATACTCATATTTTATTTCTCTTTCTAAAATTCAAAAAGAGAATCAAAGAGAGGGAGAAAAAAATTTAATGGTGTAAATAAGAGAAAAAGAGTAAAACTTTTCTCTTGATAGAATATAATGTTTAATTAACAGTTTGTTTAGCTTAAATATTCGTTATTTAATTAAATTTTTTTCAAACATATTATTTCTAAATATTTTTTTAATTATTCTTAACTCATCAATACTGTTATCTGCACTAATATTAAAAAATATTCTCTCTTGAACAATACATACTAATACTACATATATACTTTGTTTTTTGTAATTTTTTTCTCTTGTCGCCTTTAACAACAACAATTCGAACATAGAACAGAAATATGCATGTGTACTCATTTCATTACTCAAATGTTCAATTTTGTGTAGATTTTTAGCAGTCTTTATATTTTACTATATGTATTATAGAATTGTAGTTCTAATAGTTATTTATTACAGAATTGTAATAAATAACTATTAGAATAACTAAAATTGTAAAACATGCAATTTTGTTCATAACTGCATTTTATGATTTGAAAAAATTGAAAAATGACTATTAATTAAAACAGCTTCAAAAGGTCACTTTTAGAGTAAAATCATCACTCTCCCATTCATATATACTAGAGAGAGAGATTCATAGCATCAAATGACATGACAGTAACAACACAAATTTACAAAAAAAATGTTAGATACATGAAAATGTGGTTTGTGGAAAATAAAAGAGAGAAGAGAAAGAGAACGGTGGGTCTTTCAATTTTTAAATTTTAAGAATATAAGATAAGACATTATTGCATAATTAATTATGTATATTTGAGTATATAATTTTGTGAAGCGATAACTCAGAAGTTTGAGAATTTAAAGAGAAAAAAGCAATTTGACAAAAACTGAACACAAAAACAAATTATTTAAGACAACTGTTATTTCCAACGGCCACATGTAATCGAAACACTTCCCTATGCTGTTTCGTAACAGAAGAAGTGGAGTTCTATTGCTATTTAAAATTTTTAAAAAGTGCTTTTTTTAACTCTTTGGAAGTTGGAACTATCTTTTACAGAGAGGGTGGTAGAATTATTTTTTTCTAGAGAGAAAACACAATTCAAAATAAAAGGAAAAATTCACTTACTAGAAAGCACGTATAACACGAATACATAAACACATACATTGTTTCATATGGTATAAAATATTAATTGATGGGTGCAATTGCACATTTATAATTCTTAATGACAGTATTTTGAGTTAGCTTGCCTTAATGATGATAATTTTATAAATTATATAAATATAAAATTTTCAACGTTATACACACAATGTACAAATTCCATTTAGTAACATGATTTACACACACTACGTATTAATGTATGTAAGTATGTATATGCATTGACAAAATCGGAACAAATTTTTTGTTCCTTAGTTACATTTGGTAGCTTTGTTTAAAATTTTTAATAAACTTTATTTTTCTTTTATAATTTATATTTTAGATTTCACTGATAAATTAAATACTTCGGTTACAACAATCTGAGACCTCTGAATTTTATTTTAACACAGTAAAGAGCATTCAACAGAGTAAATATTGTAATTATAAAATCTCAATAAAAAATTGTTTTAAAAATGATTGGACTTAAGGATTCTGATAAGAAAAATTATAACACAAGAAGAAGGACTCTTTTGTATCTCATACAAAAATATTTAAATGACTACGGTTATCCTGATATTGCAACAACCTTAAAATCGGAAGCATTATTGAATGACTATGAAGTTTGTGATAATATTGATATTGACATAATATTTTTAGAATACTGTAGTTATCAACAACTGAAATTTGGTAAAATTCCAAATATTTTGAAAAAAAATCCCAGTGCAGAAAATTTGAAACAAAATGAGAGCAAAGGGAAAAAGAAGCTTATAAATTTACAGAAAAGTATTTCTGAAATTGAAAATACATTACCTCTTCAAAATAATGGTAGTCTTTCAATCAAAAATTTTGATAATGATACTTTAAATAAAACAATAAATCTTGCAAATATTAATACAAATTTAGAATTACCGGAAGAATGGAAGCAATTTTCAGATATGATAATGCGAACAACTTTATCAAAAAATTCAAAAATTCATTTTAAAGATATAATTGGTAATGATGAAGCTATTACAACTATTAAAGAAGCAGTTATATTACCATTAGAAAACCCTTTATTATTTGAAAATGAATTGAAACCATGGAAATCCTTACTATTATATGGACCGCCAGGTTGTGGTAAAACTTTAATTGCAAAAGCTTTATGTTCAGAAATTCATGATTATATGTCATTCTTTAATATTACTTCCAGTGTTATCATTTCGAAATGGCGTGGTGATTCTGAAAAAATTTTGAATACACTTTTTATAATTGCACGAAATATGGCACCATCTGTTATATTTTTTGATGAAATTGAATGTTTAACAAATGAACGTAATACAATACATGAACATGAATCATCACATCGTTTAAAAAGTGAATTTTTAACATTACTTGATGGTATTCATGATAGTAATGACAATATATTTGTATTAGCAAATACAAATGTTCCATGGTTAATTGATAGTGCATTCTTGAGGCGATTCGAAAAAAAAATTCTTATAAAATTACCAACAATTGATGAAAGACAAGCATTATTTCATTATTATTTGGAAGATAGTAAAAAATGGCCTAATCATATTATGGAAGAAATAAAAAAACTATCAAATGGATTTACCGGAGATGAAATAAGAATTTCCTGTAAAGAATTTAAAATGAGATCAATTAGAAAATTAATAAAGAGAAGTAACTCTAATATTAAAATGAAAGATGTGATTGAAAAAAAGGATGTGTGTGTTAATTCACAGCTATTGATTGACATTTTAAAATCTATGAAACCAAATTCGTATAGTCAATATGAAAAACATTGTCAATGGCAAGAGGAAAAGGGATCCATGGACCGGAAAAATTAAAATTTTCAGTTAATTTTAAATATTAATATTAAATACATTCGTCTAGAAGCTACAATTTTTAATAAAAATAAATTTAAGTTTTGTTATCAAGATGCTTAAACTTTTTTTAAGATGATTTTTTAAATAAATAAATATATATTATTAAATTAATTTCCAACGTACCTGATTATGAAAAAGCTAATGAAGACAAATAACATAAATGTTATCCAAAAATAAAATAATACTTATGAACAATAATTATCATCAGATAGATAAGATAAATGTTAGATAAATGTTAAAAGGCTTTTAACACCATTGTAAGAGTACACGAAGTTAGCATACATGTCCATAGTTTCAAAATCTTGATTATGAACGCAATTCATTACGTTTTTATATTTCTTGCATTTTGTTTTCAAAGATACAACGTTATACAAAGTGTAAAATAGAGTCATTTTGCCAATAATCTTCTTGACTCAACAACAATGGCTACAGTTTTCATTCACTTTCAATTTAGAAAATTTCAAAAACTTCAAAAGTAAAAACTGAATGAGATTATTGGAAGGTAATCCGCGTTAATCGGTCTTGAACAACCATTATTTTTCTTTCTTGATTGAACTTTTAATTTTTGATTGTTGTTAGATATTAAATTATTTTGTTACTAATAATAATATAACCTGTTTTTACATACATATGTTACTGCTATTCTTCGAAATTTACAAAGAGTATAAAAATAATCCTGAATTGCAAAAGTCTCTGTAATCATAGAACTTAGCAAGTTCTTCAAATTTCTTTCAAAACAACCCCCTCTTTTTTAATATTTTTCTGTTTCCTAGAAAATTTCTACACTACTTATAATTACAAATTTTATTTTTATTTTCAGCTGATTTGATTTTGTATAATAATAAAAATAATAATATGTCAATAATTATATAATACCTTAAGAAAAAGGATTGTGAACATGAAAAATGGTATTTCATGGAATTTCTTTATTGGATTTTCTAATGAAAATATGAATAAACGGTGAAATTCTACTGAATTATTATTTTCGTTTATTTATTTTAATTTGCATACTTATTTGCGATTCAATTGACATTTTCAATCTTTTATTTCCAAGAATGGTATTTACAATTTATGGTGGCTCCAATGTAATAATCTGCATAATTGTATAAATAAGCTGACATTCAATTCTAATAGGTCTCGTATATAATAATAAAAAAAATGTTTTGCAATAGCGTTGTCTTGTTCCTCTAAATAAGTAAAAGTACGTCAATTCGTCATTCTTAGATATGAAAGGAACAGAACAAAAAAATTATTTTAAAGTTAAGCAAAAAATTAGATATTTGAAATTTTATTTGAAAAAAACTGAATGTTTATATTGAAGAATATGGTTATTATAATGTAAGAAGTGCAATACTGTAAATACTTAGTAATATAATGCAACAAATGCTCGTGTAACAAAAACATTTACTTATTACCTGTCGTCTTAAGCTCTCGAATAAAGTGCTTTTTTATCTTAAGGATATTATGTGCTTTCAAAAAGGTTTTGGTTAAAAAAATATACAGAGTAGCTCATATCTAAGTGAACTCCTTCTTACCATTGAACAGACGTTGAGATTTCTAAGGAATGCTGCTATCTGACACCGGAACGGAGTTATACTCAAAATTTTAAAAAAGCAAAAAATCAGTCGAGATTGACTTTAAGTCTCTGCAACTCGAGAATTGTTAAGCTGTGAACAATATCTCTATAAACAATTTTGTCTACTCATGAGGGTCTATACAATGGTACGCAACTGTGCACTTATATATACATACGTACGTCATATTACATTAATTTTGGTATTTCTGTTTAAAATTGTTTTTCATTACTTAAATTGTCGGACCTTTATCCTATTTTTTGACATTTTCTGCTTATCATAAAAGTTCATAACATTTTTTTTTATCTCAAGTATGAAATAAATTTTCGAATTTTGACGCGTTTCACAAATATTCTAAAACATCTTGGTTCTAGTTCGCTTTTTTTTGTCTAGTTTTTTAATTTTAATTTTTTTTTTTTTTGGCATAATCTAAAATAATTTGTCATCTAACTTTATTCTCTTTTTATTATATTCTTTTATGAAAAAGAAAAAAAAAATACAGCGAATAAAAAATTTTAATTTTTTGTTTTTTTTTTGGCATCAAATCGAAATGTGCTTACGCTTAAAAATAATTTATTACATTTGTTTGAAGTAAAAATAAAAAGAATAAAGAATTATTAGCGAACAATTTTCGCGAGCGTTTTGCGACTATAAACGAAACTAAAATCATATTCACATATGTACATATGTATGTATGTACGTAACAATATGTTTATATATGCGTCGGAAAAATTAAAAAATTCAGAATCAGATTAACTTAAAAAATGATTTGGAAATACTTTGAAATCTAACACTAATGTGCACACAACAAATATACTTATGTATTTACATAAGTATGTATATACAATCATACATATTATTATATTATTATGTAAGATTAAAATTAAAATCTAGACAAATGGGCGTCGCGAGCGAAAAATCTTCAAGGTTCTTTAAATGAGTGTAATAAAAAATAAAAATAAATACAATTTTCTTCTATTTTGTTAATCGCTCGTAAATTTTCATAAAAAATTCTAAAATTTATACATTTTATGATTGCGAATTTAAAATTTTAGTCAATTTCTTTTGGTATAGCAATACAAATTCAGTCCCTAAAATAATGTTAACGATTTCTTGATCCAAAATGTTGCTTTTTCAAGACATGGAAAATTATATGTATTATCCATAACGCTTAATAAATTTTTTTATTTTATCAAAATATTCTATTTTCAATCGCCAAGGTTATTGCAAAAACAGAACCACAGCGAAGAAACGCCTGCCGGACGATTTCCATTATTAACTCAGAATAGAGTTAACATTGCCCTTATAATGGTCACGTACATAGAAAGAGATGATGTCAAAAATCTCTAACGGTAAAATAAGCATATTAAATTTGCTGCGTCCCATTTAAATTTTCTAAGTATATGAATTCTGAAATTTCGCTGTGAAAATCGCTCTTGTTCTGTTTTCAATTTTACACAAAATTTTCATTTGGCAATCATTCATTACAGGTGAAGTTTCGAATCTGTTACTATACCAAAAATTCATATTGTTCTAAAAATGTAATTCGCTTCGCCGAACATGTTCAAGCCCTTATATTCAATACATAATTTCATTTTTATAATTCAAGTGAATTAACAAGAAAATAATTTGAATGCGCATGGTAGTAATCATCTTTATCAAGGATTTTTTTTTTATTAAACCAATAAATACTTGCCCAAAAATTTTTTACTGATTTTCAAGTAGATAACGGTGTAATATCAAAAATATAGTCTTATGTGTTATGTATGCTTATTACAAAATAATTATTACCATTATAATTGCGCTAAGTCAATTATAATATTGTTGTATTCAATTCTTTGAATATAACTTCTCCTATCAATATGCAATATTAATTTTAATTCAAATTTGTTCAAACTGGTTCAGAATTTTATTAAAAGTTATGTAAGTGTAAATGTATATTAAACATATTATTTATTATGTTATTTGAGTTTTCCTTTAAAAATTACAAAAAATAATTTATTTGTTGTACTAGTATATGCACGTATTTCTATAGCTATACTGTTATACACATTTTTTAAAAAATAAAAAATTTTTAACAAATTTTTAAAAAATTACAATTTAATTACTAATTTTTTTGATCTGCAAACTAAAACAGCAAAAATTTCGACAATTTAATCAATTTCATTTATTCTCAAACTTTTTTCTTTGAAAAATACCGCAATATACCTAGTATGTTAGTTGAAATGGTTACGGTCATGCTATACTTATATATTTTACTTATAGGACAGTAGTACTGCAATTTTAGTTCTTAAAAGAAATTTTGTTGGGTCAGAAAAGTAAACTCAGAAAAACAATTTTAATATTCATTAAATTTCAAATTTTTTTATTTGTAATGTGCAAAAAAATTTTTCGCATAATTGTATACTTGCATACCTATGCATATACGTATACATTAGATATTAAGCTTTTTTGTTTTTTATCATAAAAGCTATTTAACTCTCTCTTTTATACGTAAAATAATGAATATTATTGGAATTAAATGGTTAATTTATAAGTTAATTAATTAATGATGACAGTTTGTTTTTACCACCGGGTCGGTTTTGTTTACAAATTTTAAAATTAAAACAAAACAAATTTGAAAAAAATTAAATAATTTTGTGTTCTTGAAGTATGCAAAAATCTAAAATGAAATTAGAAAAACCGCAAAATAAAGTGTAAAAGAATAATTTTATCAGAAATAATTTTCTTTATTTTGAGTGTTCTTTCTTTAAAAATTTTTAAAATATACAATTAAAAACCACTTGATACCGAAACACTATAAATATGTATTGAAAAAATTTGAAAGTACAGCAGAAATCTGATCTAGTGAACAGAATAAAAACATGGGCTATTCATTCTATTGAACAAGTTCACTATATATTGAATATCAAATAAATTAAACTAAAAAGTAGTTTTTAAAAGTTGTGAAAACTTTCTTCTGTTCGTAGAACTTTACCATAGTTTGCCTTTTATTAATAATGAACATTTTCACAATTTGCCTGCACTTTTCTTTTATTAATCGCACACAGTTTATTTGCAATACCAGATTCTTTAGATATTGTTGTAACACTTACTTAAGCTTAAATTTTTTCTTTTAATATTAATTTTTGGTATTTTAAAAAAACTATACCTTAAATTATACTTAAAATGAACACAATGGTGTTACATAAGTTTTACTTTGTTAAAGAAAATACTGCTGTTTTTTCCAATTTAACATGGAAAGTTCGGCTACAAAAAGAGAAAGAAAAATAAAAATTTGTTCTCTAACAACAGTTTTATAAAAATTTTTCTCTATATGTTGAAGTCTTCTAAACATTCTTGATCACAGTGTAAGGCAGTCAATCCCAAAAATTTGTATATTCACCC